ATAAAAATTACAGCCAAGAACACTTTGTGGAGCAGTTCTACTCTGTAATACATGGGGTCACTATGTGTGAGTCAGAATTGACTCAATGGCAATAGATAATACTCCATTTTCTAAAAGTTAAGTATTACTAGTTACGCATTGGCACAAAGCCAGTTTTCCATTTTTAACAAAATGCTCTTGACGGATTTAGGTGGTCAAGATGGATAAGAAAAACAGTCAGTATTTTAGCAACGTTTGTCTAAAATACTATATATGTGGGTGTACGGGGTGAGGCAATGGGAACATCTTGCCCCAGGTGCCTGCAATGAAGGACTGCATTGTCTGTAGGAAACCTAAAATTTGGTCCGTTTTTTATTATGACCCTGTGCCAACAAAATCAATGATAAAATATTCCTCTCTACCAGGGCAAATGCTCTATTGCTGTCTCTCATACCACTGGTGAGGTGTTACACAATTTAAAAAAATAAAAAAGAAAGAAAGAAACTGCTATGATCTAAGCTGGGAAAACTCAAGGATGAAGTTAGACAAATTTCTTTAGTTTGGATCTTCCCAAAACCTTTAATGGGTTATAATACTGAAACTCTATAACAGGGTAGGAGAATGTGGTTTTCCAAGTACACAGGATGAAAAACTTCTCTCTCTCTCTCTCTCTCTGTCTCTCTCTCCCTTTAAACAATTACCCCACTGGCTCAACTTTCAGCTAAACAGCAGACCTTTCCATAACACCATGCCTTTCTTCCAAGATGCCTCTGGGTGGATTCAAACCTTCAACCTTTTGGTTAGCAGCTGAGCATGTTAACTATTTGTACCACACAGGGACTCCAAAACAGATTCAGACTTGAAAACTCATACATAAGGGTGAAGAATAATATACCAATTTGAGGGTATTTTCCAATGAAGCTTCCCAAGATTCTGTCCTGTGCCTTGTTAAACCCAGGATTTGGATAGAAGCATACCCAAAGGTGCTAAGATAACAACAGTCAGAGGCTCAAGTGGTTGGTGAAAGAACCAAAATTCAAACTTCTCTCCATAAGCTATAACACTGAGTTGAAAGCATATAGATCATTTTTAGCACGGATAAATTTAAATTCTGCAATCAAACTCAAAAAAACAACTGTCTAAAAATCAGGGGCGGAAGTATTTTGTTTGCAAAATATTTGGTGGATTTAAGTAAGCCAAAAATACAACAGAGGCAAAAAAACATGGTATGACTATTAAGAATATCCAACTTAATCTTCAACTGCAAGGAAACAATAAGGTATCCTATTGATAATAAATAATATCTACCCCACTCTGTCAGATCATGTATAGAAGAACATTGTTACTGACATTGTTAGCTGCCATCAAGATGGCCCGTGATTCATGGTGACCCATGCCCAAGAGAAAAAACACTGCATAGTCCTGTGCCATACCCATGATTGGCAGTGGATCAAACCATTGTGATTCATAGGGTTTTCAATGTCTGGTTTTCAGAAGTAGATCACCAAGTCCTTCTTCCTAGCCTGTCTGGTCTGGAAGCTGTATTGAAACCTGTTCAGCATCATAGCAACACCCAACCCTCCACTGACAAATGAAAGGTAGCCATACATGAGGTGCACTGGGTGGGAATCAAACCCAGGTCCCCTGCATGGAAGGTGAGAATTCTCCCCCTGAACCAGCACTGCTCTGATATACAGAACATATTACTCAATCCTGGACTCTACATTTCCACACTGCAAGAGTACTTTTGTATAACTAGAGTTTGTGGCAAAGAGCCTGGGAAATGAGTCATAAAGAAAGGTTGAAGAAAATACAAGTATTAAGTCTGGAGAAGAGAAAGTAAAGCATATATATAAATTCCTTTAAATGTCTGAAGACATTTCATGCAGGAAAAGTAGTTAGTTCCCTGCTATGCTGGAGACAAAATTAACACCAGGAAGTAAGTAGGCAGACTCAGGCCAACCTCAGGACCTGTGAACAACCTGAACTATACAATACTGATCATGTGATGGTGACTTATGTCCCACCCCAGAATCACAGCAGCTGAGTGATCCTCTACCAAGGATATAGTCAACAGCACTCTCGCCCACCCCTCTCTGTGGGCAGGAAGAATTCCTTGATGCTTCCTCTAGGATGTGGAATTAGGAACTATATTTATCACTAACTCTATGACTTTAAAGGGCTTAGTCTGTCTTTTCACAGCATTTAATTTTCCCTAATACCTCAATCTTAATGAAAAGAAGAGATGTTTGTGGACATAATTATTCTTTTTTTTTTTTTTTTTCTTTTTCCTGTCAGAGCCTGTAGGGCAGGGCCATCTCTTCACATCCTTGTTAACACTCAAAAGTTTAGCAGATGGCTTTTCACATAATTGAAACTCAGTAAATGAGTGATGTGGAGATGAATTACTTCATTTGCCTGTCTCTGGATAGAATTCAAAGGAGCACTGGTGGCACAGTGGCACAGCATTCGACCACTAATCAGAAGGTCAGCAGTTCAAACCTACCAGCTACTCTGTGGGAGAAAGATGTGGCAGTCTTCTTCTGTAAAGATTAAAAACCAAACCAAATTCACTGTCATTGAGTCAATTCCAACTCAGAGCTGATAGGACAGTTCTCTGTCCTACAGGGTCACTATGACTCTAAATCAACTCGATGGCACTGGGTCTGGGATTGAATTCAACCAGATAATTCTGAAGATGTGGCCATCAGAACTGTACACTATAGAAACACAGATGTCTAAGGCTGGAAGGAACCTTCAATTTGAGATATTTCATTTTTTCAGAAGAGGAAGTAGAGGGTCAAGAGGGGGCAAGAAAGTCAAAGAAATATTTTAGAATTCTAGAGCTACACTGTTGAACTTCATAGCCTCTGGCCACATGTGGCTATTGAACACTTGAAATGTGGGTTTCTAAGACTCAGTATATAAAATATGTAAAATATCTCATTACTAATTTTTATACTGATTCCATGTTGAAATGATTTGAATACATTCAGTTAAATAAATTATGTTATTAAAATTAATCTGACATGTTTGTACTTTTTTTCTAAAAAATAATGAAGTGTCCATCAGAAAAGTTTAAATCACATTTAAAAAAAATAAAAAAACAACCAAACTCACTGCTGTAGAGTCAGATCCAACTCATAGGGCCCGGGCCCCTCCTCGGATTTCCGAGGCTAAGGCACTTGACTGCTAACCAGAAGGCTGGCGGTTCAAACCCACCAGCCACTCCTCAGAAGGAAGATGGGGCAATCTACTTCCATAGTGATACTGCCTCGGAAACCCAAGGAGGGGTCACTATGAGTTGGGTCCGACTCGACGGCACATAACAACAACAACAACAGCATTACTATGAAAGTAAATTGCCCAGCCTTCCTTCCAAGGAGTGGCTGGTGGGTTTGAACTGCCAACTTTCTGGTTAGCAGTCAAATGCCTTAGGCATTACACCACCACGTTGTTGTTGTTGTTGTTGTTGTTATTTGCCATCAAGTCGCCCCCGACTCACAGCGACCCCTCCTTGGGTTTCCAAGGCAGTATCACTACAGAAGTAGGATTGCCCAACCTTCCTTCCGAGGAGTGGCTGGTGTGTTTGAACCGCCAGCCTTCTGGTTAGCAGTCAAGTGCCTTAGGCACTATGCTACCAGAGCTCCTTTAAATCACATAGGTAACTCCTATCACATTCCTACTGCAAAACAAAATGCAACCACTGCTGTGGAGTCGGATCCGACTCATAGTGACCCCTCCTTGGGTTTCCGGGGCAGTATCACTACGGAAGTAGATTGCCCAACCTTTCTTCTGAGGAGTGGCTGATGGGTTTGAATCGCCAGCCTCTGGATAGCAGTCAAGTACCTTAGGCACTATGCTACCAGAGCTCCCACATTCCTAAATAAAACCTACTTCTTGTGACTGCTGGTCTGAAGCCCTCTGCAGGAGACTGACTGTATCACAGTCAGTCCCACCTCGATTGCAATTTCTTTCTTGAAGATGATAAAATGATGACATAAAGCAGAGACAAAGAAAGTTAAAGGACAATAGGTTTTTGCTATGATTTGTAAACTAGGTCTTATTCCAGAATCGTTCTGAATTTACAAACATGTGAGTATGCCTAGTTCGAGTGCTGCATGTGCCAACATTCCTTCTGCCCACCTAGGGAAAATGAAATTGGCATGGTCACTATACTCACTCACAATGGCTCTCTCTTCAGGAAAACAGAAGTCCCATTTTCGTATTTGCTTTCTAATAAGTATCCACCATTCTTAACTGGACCAAAATAATCTGTGATGTAATTCAGAATTTAAAATCCAGAAATCAGACCAATACTTGGTCTGTGTAAAACTAGAGCTGCTTTTGTAAAGCATAGCAATGCCTGTGAAATTATTTTCCTAACTGTTGCTATTATCTCAACCCAAGACAACTTTTATTGTTAATGATTAAGGCTTTCTGTTAAAAGGTTTGTATGAAAACTTCTCAAATATAGGCACACCTCATTTTATTGCATTCTACTTGATTGTGCTTTGCAAATGCAGTGTTTCACAGATACTACATTTTTTTACACATTGCAGATTTGTGGTAACCATGTGTTGAACAAGTTTATAAGCACCGTTTTTCCAATAGCATGTGCTCACTTCATGTCTCTATGTCACATTCTGGTAAATCTCACAATATTTCAAACATTTTCAAAATGCTATCACACATTTAGTAACTAGAGTATAGTGTAATCATAACTTTTATATGCACTGGGAAACCAAAGCATTCATATGACTGATTTTATTGTGACATTAGCTTTATTGTGGTAACCTGGAACCAAACCTGCAACATCTCTAAGGTATGCCTGTACTAAAGGCTATTTTTTTTTTTTTTAAGTTCATTAAAAAAGTCAAAAGTAAACTGCTTTCTTTCTCTTTTTTTGGAAATGCAGATACTCTTAAAACATCAGTTTATCAAAGAAAAGTAAGAGATATTAGTGTGCTCAATTATCCACCTATGTGTACAACCTTTGTCATCAAGTCCTCACATCTTACCTTTGTATTTTTCTGTGTGGGCACTTAAAAGCTCTGCACATTTTGTTTCTTCTTCCTGTATTTCCAAATGAAATCGGCATTCTGGGTGAATGCTGTTCACCTGTTGAAAATTAAAAGAAATAGAAAAAACTAAACATTCCACCCCAAGAGGAAAGTCAAGCATAAGTTCAATGAAAAACAGCCATATAACTCATAGTTCTAAACTAACACTTTTGTGGAAGAATTACAAACAAAATACAAACCCAACAGATTTTTTTTTTTCTGAGTTGATAAATTAACTTACTAACATAAGACACTGCACGTCGTTAGTACTAATTTGGAGGCAATAGAGTTCTTTAATCTAATCATCTCTTAATATTCAAGAGTCCTCCATTTCATAGCCCTTGATTTGATTAAAGTAAATATGCTGTTTACTCATAAGATCATTCATAATGACTGGATACTATACATGGACTCCAGCATGCCTCATCTAAGGACAAGCCTGTATTCACTGGAAAGAGCTATAATAGGATAAATTTATTTTTAAGGGCTACAGTAGACATTTGAAATTTAACCCTATGAATACAGATAAAATTGTAATTATTTTGACTTCAGAATCTGGTAATATGGAGATTAAAAAAAAAAAACTAGAGAGGTCAGAGGGAGAAACAGAAGTGGTCAGTCCTATCATTTTGGCTTCCACGAAAGGGGAGGTGGGTGACTTCATTTCAGGGTCTTTCATAAAAATTAAAGATGCTACATAATTAATATTGCCTGTTAACTTATGGAGTTCTGGTAGCATAGTGCCTAAGGCACTTAACTGCTAACCAGAAGGCTGGCGGTTCAAACCCACCAGCCACTCCTCGAAAGGAAGGTTGGGCAATCTATGTCCGTAGTGATACTGCCTCCGAAACCCAAGGAGGGGTCGTTATGAGTCGGGTCGACTCGACGCCACATAACAACAAACCAGAACAACATTAACTTATATAAAAGACAAAAGTATGTAACGTTTTAGTCTTGTTGTTGTTAGCACTCTGTGGAAGAAAAGCCTAGTGAACTGCTTCTTTTAAAATCACAGCCAAGAAAACCCTATGAAGCAGTCCTACTCCGTAACACATTGGGTTACCATGAATTTTAGTCTTAGAATATAACATTCTTAGAACTTTATTTTTACAAAGATCCAACTGTCCGCTGCTCTTTTTTTTGTTGTTGTTCTTGTTGTTATAACTCTGATCCCAAAAAAGGACACATACTATAAACTGTAGCTGCCCTTCAACTGCTGAAGGAGTTTTCTGCGCATTTTACTTTCACTAAAATAGTAAGTAGGAGCTCTGGTGGTATAGTGTCTAAGGCATTTGACTGCTAACCAAAAGGCTAGCAGTTCAAACCCATCAGCCACTCCTTGGAAGGAAGACTGGGCAATCTATTTCCATAGAGATACTGCCTTGGAAACCCAAGGAGGGGTCTCTATGAGTTAGATCCAACTCAAGGCAGTGAGTTTGGCTTTTTGGTAAAGGAAGAAGTAAAGAGAATCATAGCATGTTTAGTTATTCGATTAAGATAGGTCAATTAGAATTCACCACAAACAAAATATTCTAACAAAATTAAGTGAAGAAAGTTAGTACTTGATACTTCTCAATCTTACCCCCATTTCAAAAAAAAAGCTAAGGCTTTTTTTCTTTTTTTTCTACCTCATTACTGTACAAGTACCTAGTGCAGAAACTTCTGGTTTCAAGCAGGTTGTTTTTGATATATAAGAAGTCAATGGTTCAAATTTCAGAATGAGGGAAGTTACACTGACTTTAAAAGAAAAACAATCTTCTTTTGTTAGGATTTTAAAAAGCACCTCAGTAACTGATATTGCTGTTATATGTAGAGCAATGCCATATTTTGGGAGATCTAAGAAATTAAAGCCATATTAACCATAATAATTCCTAGTAGTTCACACAAACTAGCTCACTCAAAATAGCAAAATTAGTATCAAAGTTCTTACTCTCACAGCATTCCAATGAGGGAAAAAGAGCTGGAATTTTGCAATGATGAGGGGTAGGGGTTGGTTCATATGCTCCTAAAAACTGAAACATCATCAGCAATGACAACTGTCCCTGAAATGTTACATCCTGGGTTTCACGATTGCGTAGACCAGAAGACATATCCTATACCTAGGATATAGACCAAAGACCTAGTTCTGGTTGGGACACACACATATAAATTACCTACATACATACATACACACACACACACACACACACACTGTTTTTAGTCTATGAAGAAAGAAATAAGGTTCAAACAATTTTTCTAAAGGTCTTTAAATAAAAGGAAGAATTCTTGAGAACTAATTAATGTATTAATGGGCTTATTTAACAAACTTATGTTCAGTTTATCTTTTCCTCTTGTCCTCTTAAACGGAAGAAAAAGATTAAGGCAGAGTATTTCCAAAGGGAAATTGTAAACTAGGACTTCCTCTAGCCACCCCACAACTGAGTCTGACACATACTAAAACAAATAAAAATCAGAATGAATTAGAAAGAAGTATCTAATGACAAAAACCCGCGGTGGACTCCAACTCACAATGACTCTGTAGGACAAAGTAGAACTGTCCCATAGGATTTCCAAGCCTGTAAATCTTTATAGAAGAAGACAGCCACATCTGTGTCTCACAGCACAGCTGGTGGGTTCGAACTCCCAACCTTTGGGTTAGCAGCAGAGCGCTTACCACGGCGCCACCAGGGCCTTTAATGACAAAGCAAACTCCACTTTTCCTCTAAAACGTTAAGCCTGCGCAGGTGACCTCAGCCTTCTCCTCCTTCAGGTTAGTCCTCAATATTGGATTTTACAGCCCAGGGGCTGACCTACCATACACCTCTGAGAGTAAATGGCCAATAACTGTTTAATCTTTTTAAAGCGTATCGAAAAGCAAATTAGACCCTATTTCTAACAAATCAAGAGCGATAGGAGCGAAGAAAGGAGATAATGCATCTTCCTAATCCCAGGGTCTTAAAACTTGGCCAGACGCAAGTAGCTCAGTTCTGCACTATCTTCTCGGTAAGGTCTAGAACTCCATATGGCAACAATTTCACCTCCCGCGGCTCGTCCGCGAGCGCGCAAAGGACCCTCTCGCCTGCTCGCAGCTCTGCCAGCGCGTCCCCGCCGGTCCCGGGTCCCTAGTCTGCCGCGTTCTCTACTTTCTACGGGACTCAGTTTGCACTGGTCCCTCACTAGACCGCGGGAAGGGAAGCAACAACCTGGCCAGGGAAGAAAGCTCTTCTCTTTGGAGAAGAGGGAGAAACTGGGAGCGAAATGGTGGAGGGGCCGCAGGGTGCACTCACGGTGGCGAGCAGCAAGCCGCAGCAGGTCAGCAGCACAGGGGCTCGCAGCGCGGACGCCCTCATCCCGCGGGCTAGCGCCCGGGGCGCGGCGGGCTCAGCCAGGCAAGGGCTACCCCGTACCCGCCGCCTTCTTCCGGAACGCGCGGGACTCCGCGGGCAGGAACATGGGTCGGGTTGGGCAGGTGCGGAGCAGACCGTTTCTTCCTAGCGGCGCCCTCGGACGGCCAGCACCCCGCGGGCAGAGGCTCCGGCGGTCCGGACGCCGTGGGCGCCGCAGCAGCTGCCGCTCAAGCCGCCGCAGCCACGTGGGCCTGGGAGCCACCGCCCGCCCTCGCCGCCCCTCCGGGAGCCGCAGGCCTGCCTCGGAGCGCCCCAGCCGCGCGCCTCCCAGTGCGGGCCGCGTTCGGCTCCCTGTAAAGTCCGCGGGACCGGCGCCTCCCTCCGCCAGCGCCCTCTGTGCCCGCCCTCTCCTTTAGCAGCGGGCGGAGCAAGGAGGGGATGCGCACAGGTGGGCTTGGGCGCCCAGTGTCCCTGCCAACTGCAAGTGCTGAGAAATCTGCGGAAGCTCAGCCTGGGACTTAGCCTTGTTGGGCGAGGGAAGGGCGCTATGCTGGCGAGTTTCGCAGCAAATCACAATCGCTTTGCATCTACCTGTGCCCTCCCTATTAATTACAGCTAAGAAAGCGGCGAGAATCCGAAGTAGGGTAGGTGGACTGCTTTCGAAGCTAGTGTCTTTGGGTTTGGGGCAATTGAATATTGTAAAGAATATTTTGGTTGAGCTGGCAGAGGGGGAGGTGCAGAGTCGGGGACAGCCTGAGGGGTGGGGGAGGAAAGAAATGAAATCCTATTGAATAGAAAGCTCTAAAGAAAATTGGACAGAAGATGGACTCTAGTCCCAATCCCAGTTCATGGCTGATATTTGACCCTGCGTTTGTAAAACGGGAAGTCATAGTCTTCCCTGCAAACTCGCAGCCGCCGGGAGGTGCATGGACCCACATGGGGTGTGATTTCGGGGAGATGAGACTTCCCCAGACACATAAATACACTTGGCCATGGTACCCATAAGTCAAATTGCCCTGCGTGTAGAAGTCTCTGATAAGGAGAGTGTTTCCTAAAGCTTAGGAACTGCATCTTGTCACCTTTTAACATCCGAAAAGATTATTTTAGCATAATAGATAGTTGTCATCCAGCAAATGGCAAACCACTGCGAAATGAGAAATGAAACAGGTGATTGTTTTTGTCGTGTTAACTTTTTATTTGGGAATAATTTCAAACTTACACAAAAGTTAGAAGACTTAGAATAGTACTAAGAACTCTCTTTTACCCTTTATATCAATTAAGCCATTAACATTTTAGGGCATATTTGTTTTGTTTTGTTTTCCCTCTCTCTCTCTCTCTCTCTCTCTCTCTCTCTCTCTTTCTCTCTGTGTGTGTGTGTGTGTGTGTGTATCTGTATATTTGTGTATTCATATCATATATAGAGAGAGAGAGTGAGAGAGTCCTTGGGTGGTGGTGCAAATGTTTGGCTACTAACTGGAAGGTTGACTGTTAAACCCACCCAGAGGAGGAAGAAGGGCCTGGCGATCTGTTTCTGAAAGGTCACAGCCATAAAAACCCTATGAAACACAGTTCTGCTCTGCAACACATGGGGTCACCGTGAGTCCAAAGGTGTTTCCCTAAGAATAAGGGCATTCTCTCACAAAATCCCAGTATAATTATCAACTTCTATAAATTTAACATTGACTCAATATTTTAATCTAATGCACCATCCTTATAACTAATTTTCTCAATTAACCCCCAAAATGTCCTTCAGAGCATTTATTTCCCTCCAGTACATTACAAGATCCAGTTTAGGATCAAGGGTTGCATTTTGTTGTCCTGCCTCTGTAGCCTTCTTTAATCTGGAACATTTCCACTGCCTTTGTCTTTTATGACCGCCATTTTTGAAGAATATACTGTCTCCCCTGCTCTCCTGCCCCGACACTGCGTGTTTTTACTAGAATGTTCCTGGTTTGGGAATTGTCTGAAGTGTGCTTATGATTAGATTCAGGGTACGCTTTCCAGAACACTGAATAAATGAGTCTGTGTCCTTCTCTGGGTATCACATCTGCGGCACACAGTGTTCATCTACTTCTCATGGAAAATGTTCATTTTGATCACTTGGCCAAGGTGTGGTCAGATGTTTCCCCTTGTAACTAATAAGAAATCTGTGGGGAGACACTTTAAGATTATGCAAATAGCCTGCCTCGTATACAGTTTCCCTCTAGATTTAGCATCCGTTGATGATTCTTGCCTGAACCAGTCTTGACTGTGATGGTTGCAAAGCAATGCTTTTTCTACTCTTGCACTCTCTTCACATTGACCTTCTACTATAGGCAAGAGACCCTTCTTTTCTCTTTGGTAGCGTAGTGCCTAAGGCACTTGACTGATAATCAGAAGGTTGGCAGTTCAAACCCACCAGCCACTGCTCGGAAGGAAGGTTGGGCAATCTGCTTCCATAGTGATACCTCCTCAGAAACCCAAGGAGGGGTCGCTATGAGTCAGGTCTGACTTGATGGCACATAACGACAACAACAACATTATCCATTTGTCTCTGCCTATCTGTCTATCTATCTAGCTGTCTATCTTTCATATGGATGCCTGGATTTTAATTTTTTCCAATGGTTTATCACACACAATGTAATTATTTTGGTGTTTAAATTGCCCCAGGTTTGGCCAGTAGATGTCCTTTTAAGCTGACTTCTGTGTCCTTTTGACATACTTCAATTATGTACTTATATATTTTTTTTTTTTCAGAACTTTATTTTCTAGCATAAGAAGGTATTCCATGCTTCTCTGGTACCTATGGTGCACCAGCCCTCGAATCAGCCATATCTCTGAGGAATCTTGGTTCCATATATAATTCTACTATTACAAACACAGATAGGAACTCTATGTATGCAGCTTAGGACACAGATGCTTATTGACTCAAGATTCAATATGACAATGTTTTTGTTATTTACTCATGATATGAGTAAATAACAAAAATATGGGTTATTTACTCATGATGTAAGTGTACAACAAGTAATTACCTCTTTGAGCTCTTTGCCCATTTGTGTTGAGGATGATGATACCTGTTCTTCCAATTCAGAGGGTTGTTGTAAAATCAAAGTAATGCATACAGAACACCTTGTTGAAAGTCTACACTAAAAAAAATATTTTACTGGGTGGCAGTGAGAAATCAAATGATGGGTAACACACAAGGTTTCTTTCTTTATAGGAGTTCACAGTCCAGTGGTGGGGGATATATGATGTGGATACATAATTGTGACATGTGTGATGATAACGAGATATGTGGAAATGGGACAAGTATGAATTAATTTATCCTGAACGATCAGGACAAGACTCTAAGAGGAGTGAAAATCTGAATTTCACTGGAAAAATGGTTAAGACTGACAAGGATGTAAGATGGAAGAGTATTTTTAACCCAATGGGATACATTAAACAGAGGCACTTAGGAACAATGAACATGCTGAGAGTATCAGAGTAAGAAATATGATCAATTTTGGAGGACTAAAGAGCCTGAAAGACATTCTTTATCCAATCGAAGGAAAAATCAGTATTGTATAAGAGTCAAAATCTAACACACTAAAAAATAGAATGCACAACAAATAGGTTCTTTATGTTCTATGAATGAGTGATACTTACTACTATTTGCAGTTAAAGATAACTCAGTCCCTTATGGTTAAATACCCAGCCTTTCAGGATTTAGTTTCCATTTCTCTTCCCCATAAGAGCCCTGGTGATCCATTGGTTGAAGTGTTTGGCTGTTAACCAAATAGTTGACAATTCAAACCCACCAGCCTCTCTAAGGGAGAAAGCTGTGGCAATGTGCTTCTGTAAAGATTTATAGCCTTGGAAACCATACGGCCAGTCCTACTCTGTCCTGTAGGGTCACTGTGTTGGATGGAATTGACTCTCTAGCAACAGAGTTTCTTTTCTCCATAGCCATGATGGCATCTGGGTGCAAGTGGGAGCTTATGCATCCTCAAGGCTGTGGAGAAAACAAAACAAAATTCACTGCCAGCAAGTTGATTCTGACTCATAGTGACCCTCACTGGGTTTCCAAGGCTATACATCTTTACAGAAGCAGCATGCCTCTTCTTTCTTCCACAGAGCAGCTGGTGGGTTCCAATCACTGACCTTTTGGTTAGCATCCAAATGCTTTACCCACTGCACCACCAAAGTTCCTTCAAAGCTGTGGAAAGGGGCTCAATTTTCTATGCCAACCTCTGCTGATGTATGATGAGCTGGTCTGTTCTTGTTTCTAGACCTCTGGCGCTCACCCTGCCCTGTGACCAGCCTTCTGATTCATTTCATGCTGTGCTGACATCCTCTGCTGAGGTCTGTAGTCCCTGCCTTGGGCTTTAGTCTGTCTTCTTGTTCCCACCAAGACCTCTTCTGACTATATCCCTCCCTCTGCACTTCCACCCCATACATTGTTAAACACTCTGGGGTGTGTGTGTGGGGGGGGATGGGGCTCTGTGGGGCAGTCTTATGCTGTTCCTCCCTACTCACCTAGACACCCTCTCTGACATCACCCCCTCACCATTTGAATGGCAACCATGTTTCCCTGGCACTTGCCACACTTTGCTGTATCAAAAAGTTAACTCCTGAAAATTTCCCAATGAAAACCCCGTGAATCACAACAGAGTGCTCGGATGTAATGCTAGAATATGAACTCCCTAAGTTGGAAGGCATTACCTAATGACCTCAACAATGAACTCCAATATGCCGACAATCATGAAGATGATGCAGGACCAGGTAACGTTTCATTCTGTTGTACATAGGGTCATCATGAGTTGGTGTGACATGACAGCAACTAAAAGCTGTCACAGGCTGAGCTCTAAGAAGGAAGAATCAAATCTCTACCAGTAGAAACTGAACAACTACCTGTTTATTTCCCACAAAATGGTAAAGCTTTGATTCAGTGAGGGGAATCCTTGGGGCTTTAGGATTAGAAGAAAGTGAAAGCCACATCTCTTTAACTACTTGAAAAAATAAATACTATAGTGATAGTCTTT